AAACCAGTTTTAGGTCTAAAGGAGCTGATTGTTCGTACCATATCTCTGAGGCTGACTGGAGGCTGCCTGGGCTGAAACGCAGAAGACAAACAGGAAGTTAAAATCAAGCTTTCAAAATGAAGGTAGGGAGCACAAAATAAAGACTGATCTTTATAGCAATAAAAGAAATTAATATTCTAGAAATTAAACTCACTTTTTGCATTTGGGAAACTTTTATTCCATGTTAGAAATGTTAAAATATATCATTTAAATCAGAGAAAAGCATCATGTTGGGTTTTATTGTCATCATGAAACTACAGGATGGAAAGCTGAAGGAAACTGGTTTATTTCTTTATTTGGTAAAATCTGCATTAGTTTAAACCTTATTTTCATCATATAAAAAGACTTTTGAAAAACTTTGTTTAAATGTCAGTTTTATGAGAAGTTTGAAGAAAAATAATCATTGGATTGTTAAACCTTAGGTTTTAAAATCAGGTCTAGTTTCCATCTAAATGCCAATCTAAGGTCTAAAGATGCCAGAAAGATCACAGAGGCCCTGAATGAACAACTGTTAATATTTTTTTTATAAATCCTGTTAAAAGATAAATTAGAGAAACAGTCAAAAAATGGATGAATGTTAAAGAACCAAAATAAAAGAACAAAAACTAGAAAAAAAAAAGAAAAAAAAAAACGGTTGTATTGATCAGATCCTCCGATAGAGTCGGACCCTGGAGTAAAATATTTTTAATAATTTACCTAAAACCAAATGGAATAAAGTCTGGAAATTCAATAACTCTAAATTTATATTTATTTTATTTATTACATGCAAAAATTGATTAGATTTTTAGACTCAGACTCGTTATTACTGCGTTCACAGCTGGTCTGACAGTCAGGTTAGTCTGTGATGCTCAGTAATAGTTTATTTTTTAAATAAAAGACAAAATAAACCGCAACAAAAACAGTGCTTTCTTTGTCTAATTTTCAAGTTTTTCTGGGCTTGAGCTCATTTGCAAAAATCTAGTGCTAAAATAATTAATCGGATGAATCAATTAATCGTTCACAGGAGTAAAGAGATCATGAAATGTGTCTTTAGCTGACAGAGTGACCTACTTAGAGCAGGAATTATACAAAGATTGTAAAAAAAATGAAAAAATTGTGTGTGTGTATATATGGGTAAAATCTTTTTAAAAGTCTTCTTTAAAGAACCTTTTTTCATCTGATTATTGATAGAAAGATTCTTGACATAAGTCAATAAGCAGTTTGCAAATTTCTTCAAACTAATTAAGCTTAATTTAAAGCTTAACTGCAGTACTGCATTGTAAACACTAGAGGGAGCCACAGCCTGAAGCTGCTAATAAATTAAGTGTATAAGGAGAGCTGCAACTCAGACCCAGCTGTTTGTAGAAATCTATAAAAGATCAGAATGATTTGTTATTTTCTTTCTTTTTTCTGTCTTAATGTTGGCAGTGGGCTTTAGGCTGCCCTGCAAGGCTTTAAACCTGGGTTTAACCGGAGACTAAGCCATTCTCAAGCACATATCAAGGAGCTCATTTTGAGCCTGGATCCAGATTTATTGTTGATTCTGTTCATGGTGGAGAATCTATGGAGTCAGAAAGGGGTCAAAATGTTTGTAAACATACATCTTAATTGAATCAGAAAAAATATAAGTTAATATAGAATTTCAAATTTTTACCTTATAATCTGAGATACTAAAACAGCAAACATGAAATAATAAGAATTAAATCAAAATTATTCCCCTCAACTTGAAAAAAAACTCGATTCAGTTTAGTATTTTAAATAAACCCTTTTTAAAATTTCTTTTCTTTATTGCAGTTTTAGATTTTAGATTTTCAGATTCAAATCCCTTTCTTTCAGTTTCCATTTTGTTTTGTTTCAAATTGCTTTTTAATTTTTTTTTTAAATTACTAATT